AGGAGGTCGTTGACTTACCACCATTTGTTTAGCAACTGTTTGACGTTACAAGAGCACTGGAAAAAGTGACTTATGTCTGGTCCTCTCACTTATGACCGTTGCAACGTCCCTGCGATTGTGTGATTAAAATTTGGTTGCTCAGCAACCAGTGTGTCAATTACAACGGTTGCAGCATCTCGAGGTCATGTGATGGGGGAACCTAATGGGGGAAGCTGGATTTGCTTAACAACTGTGTTATTCATTTAACAGCCGTGGCAAAAAAAGGCGGGGGGCGTAAAATTGGGTGTGACTCATTTAACAACTGTCTTGGCTCAACCGTAGTCATAAGGAGAGGGCTACCTGTAGGCAATTTGAGAACATGAATCCCCCAGAGATCTGATTTCAATTTCAACCCAAAATCAATACGTTGATTTCAACCAAGGGAGGACCGACTTCCTAAGTTTAAGATTGGGGTTTGGTACTCACGATGCAGCCAAGAACTTAAGAGACGTTTCCTCCTGGGGAGGAAAGCTATGGCAAATCTAGACAGCATACTAAAAAGCAGAGACATCCCCATGTCAACAAAAGTGCGTAGAGTCAAGGCTGTGGTTTTCCCAGTTGCAATGCATGGCTGTGAAAGTGGGACCATAAGGAAGGCTGAGCGCCAGAGAATGGAGGTCCTTGAAGTCTGGGGCTGGAGAAGATTCCTGCAAGTCCCTTGGACTGCAAGGCCATCAAACCGGTCAGTCCTAGAGGAGGTCAACCCTGGCTGCTCTTTAGAAGGCCAGATCCTGAAGAGGAAACTCAAAGACTTTGGCCACCTCACGAGAAGGAAGGACTCCCTGGAGAAGAGCCCAGTGCTGGGAACGATTGAGAGAAATAGAAGAAGAAGGGGATGGCAGAGAAGGAGGAGGCTGGATGGAGTCACTGAAGCAGTTGGTGTGAGCTTAAATGGACTCTGGAGGATGGTAGATGACAGGAAGGCCTGAGGGAACGTTGTCCATGGGGTCGTGATGGGTCAGACACGACTTCGCAACTAACAACAACTCATGATGTACAAGATATGTTACACCAATCCAGGTATTGTCTATATCCGCATCTCAGGATCCATCTCACCTTTTAGACTGTGGCATGGTTTAAAAACAACAACAACAACCCTGACTTCACAGAGCAAACAGCATATAGACAAACGATTCATTGTTAAGAAATTTAAAGTGGCTTTTATTACCCATGCATCTTGACCTTTGCCTATTGACAATGATCTGGTGATATATCTCTTAAATAAACATTGTGCACAGCCTCAAAGGCTGCTTACTGTTGCAAGCTGAAACAGCAAATTTAACAGAGTCGGGACAGAATAATCCTTATGTTTTCTTTTGCCTGTATCGGCTCTGACTGAACCAACAGTTTTTTTAAAGCACTGCATACTTTCAAATCTTTCAAGATATTTTTTTTTTTTACCCCAGTTGTTTGCAGCCAAGCCTAACCAAAAGGCACACAGGGCAGAATCAGTCTGTACATGTCTAGACTCTCGGGACACCTGAGAGGCTGGTGAACAAAGGAGTTTTGGGTGTGCACAAACACAGCTGTAATTCGGTATGCAAGGAAAGTTTCCAAAATACCTACGCTTAAGAAACAGAACAGATACCAGAAAATAAAACCCGTGTTTGAATTCAGCTTGGGGTTGAAACCAGGAGCCCCTAGATTAGAGCTACAGATAAGACTTCAAAAACTCAAAACGAGTGTTGGGGCTCGTTTCTAACTAACACTTTTTATTTAAAAGTGTATGGGTAGTCCTTGATTTGCAATCACAATTGAGCCCAAACTTTCGGTTGCTAAGTGAGGCAGCGGTTATGCAAATTTTACCACCTTTTGTGATGATCCGGGGCCTGGCACAAAGGCAACACAGTCAAATGAACAATAAGAGTCTTTTTATTAGCTCCAACTTTGCCCCCCCATGTCCAGGTTACCTTCTGCTGCAGAAACTCTCTCCCAGGAACAGCCTTCAAGTGGAGGAAATTCAGTCCAAAACAAGGTATACACAAACTGTAACTTAAAAACCAAACAAACCAAACTGAAGTATTTAGTTTGATAGGGCAGGAGAAGGAATTTCAGACTTGAAAGCATGGCAAAACTCACACAGTTGGGAAGACACCAGGAACATAGATACAAGATAAATTCACGTTTGCTCCCAACAACTTGCTGCGCAGTTTCCTCTTTTATACACTGTGTTCCCAGCTGCAGCTAATAAAGGGAATCAGGGCCCTTTCTTCCCCCGTAAGCCATGCAACCCACGTTGCTCCCTTCTCAGTTCCTCCCTGCGTGCCCTAGGATGAAGAGGGAGTGGGCCTGGGTCGTCCTCTGAATTTCCTCTCCCTTGTTCTACCTCTCCTGCTCTGCCCAGCAGGATTTTGCCCTTCCCCAGTTTCTTCCACAGCCAACCAAACCCCACTCCCACTCCCTGTCAGCTGTTCGGCTTCCTCCTCCGAGTCAGATTCTGACAGGGGCATGACACCTTCCTTGCCACGGTTAAGTGAATCACTGCAGTTGCTTAATAACACGGTAGCTAAGTGGATCTGGCTTTGCTGTTGACTTTGCTCGTCAGACGGTTGCAAAAGGGGACCATATGACCATGGGACACGGCAACCATCACAAATACGAGTCAGTTGCCAAGCATCTGGATTTTAGTCACATGACCCTGCAAAGCTGCAGTGGTTGTAAGTGTGGAAAAAAAACAACAGTCCTAAGTCACATTTTTCAGTGCCGTTGTAACTTTGAAGAGTCACTAAATGAACTGTTGTAAGTTGAGGACTATCTGTATGCCTTTTAGTAATAATAATAATAATAATAATAATAATAATAATAATAATAATAATAATAATAATAAACAACCTAGGAAATATGCTACCAAATTCCTTCAGATATTTTGCCACCATAAACTAATGCAGTCCTCCTTCGGTAAGGCAGCCTCTGAGTGTCATTTTTGCATCCTGATCCACACTGCTAGATGGGTTTCCAAAATTTGGAGGCAAGACCTACCTGAAAGCAGCAGAGCTGCATTCCTAAAACAAGCTTAATCAAAAAATATAAACTGCTTCTCCAACCCAGGGGAAAATAACCCAGAAAATCTGGCCCAATTGATGTGACATTTCCTCACTTACTCAGCCGTACTAAAACGCTTCTCTACTTATGGCCATCCATTCAGCAATTCTTTGAAGTTATTGCACTAACAAAGTGACGTGGTCCTCACACTTATGACCATTGCAGCATTCCCCACAACCACGTGATCACAATCTGGGTACCTGACTTCACATTTCCGATGGTTCAACATACCAGGATCACGGGTCTCCATCTACAACCTCCCCAGCTGCCTTCTGACAAAACAAAGTCAATAAGGAAGCCAACAGGAAAAGGTTGCAAATCAAGATCATCTTGTGTCTTCCTTGCTTAAATATTCCGGCCCCAGTTGTGGTTACTACATGTACAGTACTTACCTCATTATAGCTTCTTCCCTTCCCAAAAAATGTAGCCTCCAGCTAGTAAAAGACCGGCCATGTCTCACTGTTTCCATACTTGTTCTACATGCACTGCACCTTAAATCACAAAGAAATGTACTACAGAGAGTAGGTTTCTCTGCCTTGCTGACTACTTGGGATCATGCTCTGTTGAGATTCTCAGTCATTCAGGTCCAAAAGGTGCTTTTTCAAGAGGCAACCAGACTGTGGGTTTTTTTTTTGGCGGGGGGGCGGGGAGACATTTCGCTTCTCATCCGAGAAGCTTCATCAGCTCTGACTGGATGGTGGAGAATGGAAGGATTGATATTCCTTGCAGGCAGCTGGTCATTTGCATTCTTTTAGAGAGTCGTTGAGGCTGCTTGGAGGTTTGTCACCTAAGTAGTGCAGATGGGTATGGAGCCCCCTTGGAGCTGCCGAAAGGACTGTGTTGTGGGACTGTGTCCCTTCGCTGTCGCTTCGCAGGGCAGAAAACATCCTGCAGAAAAGCCCAGCTCCACATCAACAGTACTTGACAACTTTACTGAGAACTTTGTCCCCAACTTCAAAGCACTTTCTTTGCATCAAAGAAGATTCCCTGCAAATCCTAAGTAGCACTTTGCCCTCAAGTCATTTGGCAACTTTGGCAAAAGCTTTGCGCAGAATCCCTCAAGGCAAGGAGGTGGTGGTGGGAATAGGGTCAGAGACACTGTGCCACAATGTCTGAAACAAGCAGCCTCATATCCTAGTTGTCAGGTTGCGCCAACAACTCCTCCCCCGACTCCTCCCCAACATTTGGGAAATCCCAGGTCTCCTGAACAGGCTTCTGTGCACCTGGAACTTTCCCGGCTGGCCTTTCCCTCTCTCTTCCTGCAAGTAACCACGCTCGTGGGAATTGCGTTGCTTTCCAAAGTCCCGCGTGCACTTTTTTTGCACTTGCCACTCCCGTTAGGGCGGGGCTCGGACACACGACCTTCCAGACAACATTTTGGCCACGATCACCCTATGCACCCACTCGAGGGACGTCGCATAACCCCAGGCTGAAACAGCCCTGCAACCGTTAACTTTAGGCCAGGGGGCCCCAAACTTGGCAACTTTAAAGACTTGTGGACTTCAACTCCCAGAATTCCTCCTACAGTCATGTTAGCTCAGGAATTCTGGGAATTGAAGTCCAGAAGACTTAAACTTGCTAAGTTTGAAGACCCTTTGAAGGGGAGGGGGGAGAAGTAGTGATGCAAGGCGTACACACGCTCGCGCGGGCGAGAAACCCTCTTAACTCCGAAGACCGGCCGCCTCCCCACGTTGCCAAATACACTCAAAACTCCCGAGTTCTCGCCCGTTCTTGTCCTGTTTGGAAGCGCCTTCCGATTGGTGGCCAGCCTTCGCGAGGGCGAGCCAATTAAATCCCATCGCGATTACCTCATTCTTCGGCCGTCCCAGGTCAGGATTGGCTCCTCTTTGATCCCGCCTTTCCTATCCCCACGTGGGGAAAAAAATGGGGGGGGGGAGGAATCCCGGTCCGGGCGCTGATTGGTTCGCGGCGTTGTCGGCGGTGGCTCCTCTGTTGCTGAGAGGAAGCGCGAGAGGCCCGGCCGGGACAAGACAGGCCAAGAGCGGACCCCCACCGGTAAGTTGATGAATATGCTAATGACATGCAAATCGGATTCCAACGAGCCCTCCAGTGAGGGAATTCCTGAGGGGAACGAAGTCTACCTTCCTTCACCTCAGGAGTTGTACTTTGCAGTCCTGCAGGGGGGAGGGGACGCCCTCGAATTAACCTGCACAGCCTGTCGGGAACGGTAGTTTTTCCACAGGGGACTCCCCAGGATATCGAAAGGGAAGGGTCGCCGCCGCGGACTACAACTCCCATGGAGCCCGTGCGCCGGCGTCCGGGCTCGTCGACAGGCGCTCGGTTTTCTCAAAGCATGATGGGTGCGCTAGTCTTGTCGCTCTCGCGTGCTTCCACTTTGCCTGCTGTCCAAGCGCCGCTCCCGAAGGCTTTTTCGCTCGCTTGGACTAATCCGGCATCGCCACCTTTTGAAGAGCGGCGGCGGCGGCGCGCGCTGCATCCTGGGCGTTGTTCGTCCGTCTTAGGAGAACTTCCTGGTTTCTTCTTTTCACACTTTTGATGGGGTCCGGGACTACTACAGCCGTGAGGCTTTGCGCGCCCAGCTTTGTGTCCTGGTGCAGGATGGGAGTTGGCGTCTTTTCGTTCCTCAGCCCCGGTAGGGAAAAAGGAGGCGCAAATTTACAAGTCCCACGGAGTCAGGCTCGCTCTCCCCCCCTTCGCCCTGCCTTGTTTCGCGGTACTTTCTGGGAATTAAAGTTTTTCTGGGAGAACAAGACTGCTTAATCAGGTAAAAAGGAGAGCCCTTGGAGGGACTACATGTCCCATGAGGCTTAGAGTAAGGGTGCCTTCTTCCTGTTCGCCTTGCGCCAGGTAAACAAGTCTTGTCTTTGGCTCCACCTCTTCATTCCTATTGGCTACTGTATGTGAAGTGCCTTCCCTTCCTTCCCGAAGTCGCCTTTTCACAGGTTACTGTAAGTGTTCCTCTCAAGGGAGGGGCAGGAGCCCTTTGAACGGTACGGCCCCCCCCTCTATAGCGCTGATAGGCGGCACTTGCTGCCTGTCGCGGGAGGCGGGGCGTGCCAAACCTTCCGTGAGGAGCCGTTGGCTGCGCCGAAAATCTGTCACGGAGTTGTGGGCGCCGATTGGATGGCTCTTCCAGCTGTTCCAGTTCATTCACCATTTTGTCTGTTGGAGTAAAAGGGGCTCGGAGGGGCCGAGAGGGGCTCGGGCTGGACCATCGGGGAAGGGTGAAAAAAAGGGGGGGAAGAGGGGGGGAAGAAATCGAACTGTTCCAAGATTCCCTGGATAGAGACTTTTGGCAACTCTGGAAAAGGGTTCAGGTAAGGGGACTGGGAGGTACCAACTTTAGCAACCCCCCACCACCACCAAAGGCGGGGAGGTGTTTGGGAGGGAAAAGATCTGCAGAAGGAAACATCTGCACCCCGGAACCTTCAAAATAGGAAGAGCCAACTTTATTGATTTGTATCCCCCCCCCCAATTATGTTGGGGAGGTACCAACTCTGGGACCAGGGGCATTCCCCACTTCTTGCCCCCAAGTTTGAATGGTTCGCCCCAGAGAGAACATCCCTTTGCAAAGAAGAAAGAAAAAAAAAGGGGGGGGGAGAAACCCGGGAGCGCCCCAACTTTGCCTCTTTCCCCCATCAGAATCATCAGAATGCAGGGGCTGGCTTGCGTGTCTTGTTTTGTGTGTGTGTGCGTGAGAGAGAGAGAGGGAAAGCGAGCGAGCGCAGGCATGTTTATTATGGGATGGCACCGAGGAGGCAAGGTTCCAAGCTGAGACCCAATACCAGTTATTATGGGATAGAAAAAGAGAGGGAGGGATTGACAAGGGAAGCTTGGCTGGTGCCTGCCTGTAGCAGGAGTGGGACGGAGAGAGGCTGGTAAGTACAGGAGTTGCATAATATGGGAGGGTCTTCCCGAAGTGCAGAATGGGAGGGGGGGGGGGAAGGGATCTAAGGGGGGTTGGCGTTGCGAAGAGAAGGGGAGGGGGGGGGGAAGGAGGAAAGATGGCAGAAGTGAACTTGGGGACCAAGGATGAGAGGGGGACTCTGTGGAAAAATCCCTTCCGGGGGGTTTCCTGGTGGGGGGAGGGGAGGAGGAAGGGAATAGGATTTGGGGCTGGGGGAGTCCTGGGATGAGGAGCTGGATTGTTTGCAGACCTCCTCCTGGGCTGAGCTGCAAGGAATCTGAAGTAGATGCCAAGAAGATGTGATGTCATGGAGAAAGAATGCCTCTAAGCATACGCAGAATGCTGGGCCTTAAAGAAAGGCAGGGCTCAGCTCTGGTACCCGAGGAAGAGGGGGCAAGAGGAGACCACTAACTCACAGGGCCATTGGCCCCACATTGGTGGTCCTTTCTCTTCTCAAACAGCTGATGTTTGCAACCTGGAAGGAGGGGGTTTAAAATGACAGCTGTTATGGATATTGCACAGACGATCCTTAGATTGCTTTTTTCCAGGAAGACAGACTCTCTCTCTCTCTCTCTCTCTCTCTTCCCCCACTCCCCGTGGCCCTTTCTTTTGGTAGGGTGGGAGACAGAAATTTGGCCTCCAGTTTCTATTCGACTAAGTTAGCGGATGGGTTTGCAACCATTCTGCATTCCTTTGCATCCTCCTCCTCTGTCTGGCCAGCAAGAGAGAGAGGAATTCAGGAGGGCTCTTTGGGAGCCCTCCAAACAATCCTGTTTTCCTTTCCCTGCCATAATTTACTATCAGAAATGAATGAAGTGCCTCCAATACCGCCTAAGCTGAAGCCTATAAAATTTAGAATCTCCTCGGTTGGGCCAAGGTTGGTAGGGAATGAAATGAGAGAACATCGAGTCGATGAGCTTTATTAAGTGTGAAGAAAATGGCCTGTTTTTTTTTGAGCTGTTTGCTTATTGGCATCTCGCCTTGATTATCTCGACAAACAAATCAAGGCGATGGACGCATCCAACACACCTTCCTCCTCCTATTTCCCCCACAACAACAACCCTGTAAGGTGGGTTGGGTTCGAGAGAAAGGGACTAGCCCAAAGTCACCCAGCCAGCTTTCATCCCTAAGGTCAGACTAGAACTCACCATCTCCTAGTTTCTAGCCTGGTGCCTTACTCACTAGACCTAGCAAACTCTCTAATATTTACGTGTATTACAATTAATATTGGAAAAAGCAATTCACCCTTTGGAGCTTCGTTGAAGTCCAGGGATGCCCTTCAGCAGAATATCAATGTTAAGGACCACATTTGTTCCTACCTAGATGCGTGCGCGTGCACGCACACATTTCAGGTCTTTTTGCATGAATAAAAATGCAGATAAAGACTGGCTTCATACTTCATACCAAGCCGTGGTTTGCTCTACTCGTCATACAATAAGCTCCATATGTCATGACATATGGGTTCATATGTCACTCTAAGCTATAAGTCGTGGTTTGTCCCCAGAAAGGTTTGGTTCAGATAGATACTAAATCCACATTATTGGGATATTTTGAACCTAACAATGCAAGTTGGAATCTCCTATACTCACACTGACACTGAATTGGGATCTAATATTAAAAGTGCTGGAACTCCTGATGATGAACAAAATAGAACTGTGGCATGTGTGTGTGTGTGTGTGTGTGTGTGTGTGTGTCTAAGATTTATTTATATAGAAATCCAATATTTATTTTAAATTAATTCTTTGCTTGTTCCAACAGGAGTAAATGCCCTAGATTATCACCTCCCCCACTTAAGAGGGGTTTACTTTTTAAATTTAAATAATAATTTTGGCTGCATATAGATATTCTTACATAATGTCTTTCTGTACATACATATTATGTGCAGCTTGTTAAAAATGTGCATGCTTATTTCCAGCTCCCAGGCTGGAATTGAGGCCTTCTTCCAGTTTGGAGTTAAGAGAGTTTGGGATAAGGAATTGGATGAGAATAACGGGGAAGGGAAGCACAGCCAAAGAGTTTCCTCAGAAGTGAGGAACAGCCGAGAAAGTACGTTTATTAGTGACTAGTTTATGGCTCAAGCGGGAAAGTTATTTTCTTCACATTTCAAAACATGTGATAAGTCCGCTTTTAAAACCAAAATTTCAGACTTCTTGAGCTTGGAGGATTAAGTTGATGGTTGGAGAAATCCGATTAGAAGGGAGTGGTAGAATGGAGGATGGCCTGGTAACCTCCTTCTTGTCTGTTTCCTCTTAGCTCCCTGAATCTATGCCCAGCCTGGGAGAAAGATGAAACCAGTGAGAAAGGCTGCCAGTTCCTCCTCTTCCTCCTCTTCCGGTAGCAGCAGCTGCAGCCGCTCTCCACCCTCCACCCGGGCCAAAACTCAGAAGCGCAAGACCGCCATTGACGAGAGCCCCACGCTTGAAGAAGGAGCAGAAGAGGAGGCGCCCGATCAACCCTCAGCTTTTGTGGGTGCCCGGCGCATGCAAGTACAGATGGACCCTAGCCTGCGGGACTTGGCCGGAGCTCACGATGACCCCTACAAACTGCCCGAAGGTGAAACACAGGCGGGGGCCGAGGCCTGCGGGACAGAAGCCTCCTTGAACCGCAAGACGGCTACTTTTAAGTCGCGGGCGCCATGCCGGAAGTATTCTGGGGGTGAAGAGTCGAACGGCAGTGAGAACGTAGCCGCCACCTTGGAGGATGAGCCTCGGCGCTGCCCTTCTTCCAGCACGGACACAGCCAGCGAGCACTCCGCGGACGAGAATGACAAGGGGGTGAGGAACATGTGGGCGATGCCCCCCAGTGCGTACGACCTGCGCCAGCTACGTTCCCAGCGGGTGCTGGCACGGCGGGAAGGACTCTTCCAGCCAGCCGTTGTGAAGCAGGTCAGACGAGGGCAGGACTTGGGGGTGCAGTTTGTGGGGGACCGGGTCACGGCGTATTACGAAGGGGCCCTGGGATCTGCTGCTGTGGATATTGTGCTGGACGCTGTCCCACCCCCTGGAGCTTTGGCTGTGGGTACCCCAGTCTGTGCTTGCGTGGACCCCGACGAGACAGCTTACCAGGAAGGCACGGTGGTGGAAGTCAGCGTCAAACCTGCTTCTTATAAAGTGCGATTCACCCTTCCGTTGGTTCTCCGTGGACCTGCCACTGCCACCCGGAAAGACTCCGCCTGGGTGCCCCGCTCAGCCCTGCGCCTTCTACGCTCCCCGTGGCGTTGTGACCATCCTTCTGAAGACAACAAGCCACCTGAAACGATGCCTCCTTTGCCAGAGCCAGAGGAAGTTGCTCTGGCCCTCTCGTGCCCCGAGTCCAAGCAGCCCGAAGACGCCGAAGTGTCCAAGATTAGTGCTGGAGTGAGGGCAGAAGAGAAGTCCGTGGTGGTGCCACCCCAGATCCTGTCCCCCCCAAAGTCGCCAGCCTTCCCTCGCCTTCCTGAGCAGCGATCGCCTTTGCTGAGTCCGGAAGCGAGCGGAAGCCGCAGCAGCAGCGTGATGTCCGTGGATAAGTGCAGCACGCCGGGCTCCTCTCGCTCCCGTACGCCCCTCACCGCCGCCCAGCAGAAGTACAAGAAAGGGGATGTGGTGTGTACCCCCAACGGCATCCGCAAGAAGTTCAATGGGAAGCAGTGGCGGCGGCTCTGCTCGCGGGACGGCTGCATGAAGGAGTCCCAACGGCGGGGTTACTGCTCCCGTCACCTCTCCATGCGCACCAAGGAAATGGAAAGCCTCTCGGAAGGCCGAGCCAGTGGCCTGCGGGAGGGCAGTGCCGAGTTTGACTGGGACGAGACGTCGCGGGACAGTGAGGCTAGCAGTGCCCGAGGGGACTCGCGGCCTCGGCTGGTGGCGGCTGCCGATTTGTCGCGCTTTGAGTTTGACGAGTGCGAAGCTGCCGTCATGCTGGTGTCTCTGGGCAGCTCTCGTTCAGGCACCCCATCTTTCTCGCCGGTCTCCAACCAGTCCCCCTTCTCCCCTGCTCCCTCCCCGTCCCCTTCTCCTCTCTTTGGCTTCCGTCCAGCCAATTTCAGCCCCATCAATGCCTCGCCCGTCATCCAGCGGGCCGCTGCTCGCAGCCGCCATGTGAGTGCCAGCACCCCAAAGGGAGTCGGGGGTGCCGTGCTGAGCCCTGAGATGTTGCACCATGCCGCTTCCCGAGAGCGCCATCATTCGGGCATCAGCTTTCAGACCAACCTTACCTTCACGGTGCCAATGAGTCCCAGTAAGCGGAAAGCCGAGTCGCACCACAGCAGCACCAGCTCGGCGGCCGACTTCCACAAGAATGACAGTCTCGACTCCGGCGTGGAATCCATTTCTCACACTCCCACCCCTTCCACCCCTGCTGGTTTCCGGGCCGTGTCGCCCGCGGGCGCTGGGCCCTTTTCCTCGCGCTCCCAGCAGGCCTCCCCGCTCTTGCTGGTGCCCCCGCCAGCTGGGCTCACCTCCGATCCGAGCCCCACAGTGAGGAGGGTGCCCGCCGTGCAGAGGGACTCCCCCGTGATTGTGCGCAACCCCGATGTCCCGTTGCCCTCCAAGTTCATAGAGAAGCCGTTGGAGAGCCGAGGGGGCAGCCCAAGGATGGGGAAAGCCGGCTCCAAGGAACACCTGTCGGGCAAAGGGCAGTTGCAAATGCCAGTGCCCATTAACGTGGGCCGGACTCTGCCTTCCAGCCAGCCTAGTGTGGTATCTGTCCCCGAACAAGCTCCGCCTGTCTTCAGCGTGTCCTCCCCCTTTCAGCCTGTGGCCTTCCACCCCTCCCCAGCTGCCCTCCTGCCTCTCCTTGTCCCCGGAGAGTACACCAGCCATCCTACGCCCAAGAAGGAGATCATCATGGGGAGACCTGGCACAGGTAAGCTTCGGGGCTTACTCGATACTCTTTGGCCTTGTCTTCGGGTGTTGTCGCTTTTTGGACTCCCTGTGTTTATTTCACTTTTCCCATCCCTCCAGGCCCCACATTTTAAACAGGGTTAAATCCAAACTGCTTAGCCTTAGTGGCTCTCAGGCGAGGTGCCAAGGAGAGTGGGGGAGAGCTCTATGCCAATTCGCTGCAGGCAACTTGCTATGGCCAGCTCACCGCAGGACAAGAGTCACGTTAATACCCAAGAAACGGTGGTATAGAATAATTAAAGAAAGGAGTGCGAAATGAGATGGGAATGACAAAAATTAAAACAGTAATAGCACTTAGAGTTATCTACCGCTTTCTGGTGCCTTCCAACCTCCTCTCTGAGTGGTTTATAGAGTCAGCCTTTTCCCCCAACAATCTGGGTGCTCATTTGACCCACCTCGGAAGGAGGGAAGGCTGAGTCAACCTGGAGCCTGGTGGGATTCGAACTGCCCAAATTGCAGGCAGCCGGCAGTCAGCAGAAGTCGCCTGCAGTACTGCACTCTAACCGCTGCGCCACCGAGGCTGTTTTAAAATATTAAAACATTTTAAAATGTATTTTAGATAATTAAACTGAATGGTTAAAATTGGCCCAGGGCGAGTTGGCCGTGGCACGTTGTCCCATTCCGATGGGCGGGGCAGGGCGGGGGGGGGGGGGGGGGGGGGGGGGGGGGGGGGGGGGGGGGGACTTGGAGGAATCTCAGTGCAAATGCCAGTTTTTGAGTTTCCATATTTGAGTTCCAGAATTCCGAGCAGTTGTGACAACCTTTTTCTTGGCAGAAAGCCCCCTTTCCCCCCCCCGCCCCCCGTGGCGTGTGAGGCTTGTCCAAAGAGCTCGTACAAAACTGAACCTCGCTTGGGTAGTCATGGGTGACCAGGAATCCATGCTGGCAAACGAACGGCGCTGGTGCCAGCGGTAGGAGAAGCTGCACCGATTTGCCTTCGCACAAACCCGAAACAAGCAAGCCGCTCAAGGGAGGGAAGCCTCTTTTCCGTAAACTAAAATAGAATTTGCAGCTCTGCATTCCTTCTCTGTTGGCCTCGGTAGGCTATTAACCTTTTTTTTTTTATAAAAAAAAAGAGTCTGGTTTTCCTGAGTGGATTTTGGAGAGCTGTTTGTGAAAGGCTTTTTTTTTAAAAAAAAAAAAACAAATAACTCCATGCACAGCTTTGGGTGACGCTTCCGTTTCTTTTCTCTTGTCAACTCTCGCTAACGCTAGCATCCTCCACAAAGGTGGTTGTGAGAATAAGCACATCAAACCAGAGGAAAATCTGGGGAAGAAAACGGGATGTCTCTTCAAGAAACAAAAAAAAACAAAAACCTGGGAACTCTTATGGTTGCTACACCCAGCAGAAGTTTGTGATATTAGGATTATTTGTTGGGAGAGAAGTGTTTTTTTTTTTTTTCCGGCTTGGTCCTCCTCTGTCTAATGGAAAAAGGGAAGAACGGGTAGAGGAGAGAGTATTGATATATCTGTGAAAGGTAAACGGTTTTTATGGGAGCAAATTCCATTCTCTTGAGAGTGTTCCCGATGAAAAGTCTCTGCAATCCATCATCCATTTGCTTCTGAGAATAGCTTCCAGATGGTTCCGGGAAGCTGAGTGTGATGTCATCTCTCTCTTGCTCTACCCACTGGAGATTCCAGCTATTTTTTTTTTGTGCAGGATGGCCTTTTGATAGGCCAGTCTTTCATGAGTCTCGTTCATGGTTTAATAGCGCCCAGTAGTCCTTAAGTTGGCTTGCTTTTAACATGACGGACTTTTCTTAATGTTGCTTTTTAGTGAGAGAGATTTAAAACTTGAGTTTTAATTCTTCTGTTGGGGTGACTCTTGAGCTGGCTCCTATCCAACTTCCATAATACCGTAAACCTATTTGATAGGTGTAGTATCGATGTTTGCAGAGCTGAAGTTGGAATTTTATCTTTGGCTTCTTAAGTTAGGATTGAAAACAGGACCAAACAGGCCCCTTTTGCCTTCCAGAGTTGACAGAGGCAAAATTTTCCACGCCGAGATTTGAAAATTCAGTATATAGGACATGGGAAACAAATGACTTGGGATGGTGTTGTTAATTTTCCAAGTTGAGTTGCTTCCTTCTCTGTTTACACTTGAAGGGGACCAGGGTGGCCATTATGTTGGGTACCCCCAGAGCCATGTGCATAGTTCCAGTTAGACAGCAAAATGAAGAGAGTATCAATGCTGGTTAATGTTTGGCTGGTTAATGAAGAGCCAAGGAAACCCATTTGGTTCAGTATTTGTCACGGGTTAATACTGAAGACCTGTAAATAGCCATGTGCTAGGGGTGAGGAGGAATTCTCTTTGGCTGGGCATGAAAACCAGTTGGGTGACATTGGGTCTATCACAAGATTGTGAGTTCTAGTCGCGTCTTAGGCATGAAAGCTGGCTGGGTGACTTTGGGCCAATCGCCAGGAGACTGTGAGTTCTTGTCCCACCTTAGGCTGAAAGGTAGCTGGGTGACCTGCTGCCAATTATCTTTTCTCAGTCTGGGAAGGAGTCAGTGGCGCTTCTGAAATCTCCCCCCCCCCACCCCCAAATTGCAGGGAATAGTCCAGATAATTGCCAAAAGTCAACAGGGACTGGAAAGCCTATGCACTTACACAGAGGGAGGGGAGGGAGGGAGGGAGGGAGGGAGGAAGGAAGGAAGGAAGGAAGGAAGGAAGGAAGGAAGGAAGGAGAAAGGTTCAGAGAGAAAGAGGAAGGAAGAAAGGAAGGAAGGATCAGAGAAGGAAGGAGAAAGGTTCAGAGAGAAAGAGGAAAGAAGGAAGGAATGAAGGAAGGAAGGATCAGAGAAGGAAGGAGAAAGGTTCAGAGAGAAAGAGGAAGGAAGGAAGGAAGGAAGGAAGGAAGGAAGGAAGGAAGGAAGGAAGGAAGGAAGGAAGGAAGTGGATGGGTAGAAAACATACCCCAAAGATGAGGTGATCATACTGCAACTCTCTAATGCTTATTGGAATTTATATTAAGCTGTGATCCATTACGTTGAAGGAAACCAGATGAGACAAAAACAGCAGGATAAAAATCCTGTTCTAGAGCGACCGGAGCTTTGATCTTCCTCCTGTTACCAGCGAGGAAAAGCTATTGCATCTTTTGCTGGTGGGTTCCCAATTCCCTCCCCCCACCCCCCCGTTTTTTTCTTTGCAGCATCTGGAGTCCTTTCTGACCTCTGCTGTAAAAAAAAAAAAAAACAGCGGGGATATAATTTCCCACCCTTTTGAGGCCAGAAATAAATAATGTAAGCATTCCAACGACAGGCTTTAAAGTTTAAAAGTTTAAAAGCCTTTAAAAAAAGAAAAACAACCCCGAAAGAAGAAAGCAAAAAAAAAAGAAAAGAAAAGAAAAGCCCAGTCGTGCCAACATGTGTTACGCAGCCACATCTGTTGCAGCCCTTTTCGGTTTCCAAACATTTTGTGTAGTTTCTGGAAATCAGGAGATTGCCCTCTTCTGCATTGGCGCCTCGGGGTTTTTTTTTTGGAGTGGGGGGGTGGGGGTGGGGAAGGATCAAGGAAATAATCTGTTAAAAGGCTGAGTGATGAATGCATATTGTCCTTTTTATTGGAAAAGGAGGGGCCGTTTCCACCTGTCTTGCATGGGGGTGCATGCATGATGTGTATAGGGGTTCACTGCAGCACATTTATCTCTCCGATCCTCTGTGGGAACGACATCACACTTGAGTCTGCCAGCAGGATGATAGTACAGCTTCCTCCAAGGGTTGGATATTAAAGGTAGCTTTCTGGTATTGCCTTTTTTTTTTCTTTTTTCTTTTTTTTTTTTAAATACTCGGTGTACGTGGGCTGCTGCATCTGAGTGTAAGCCAGCTGGAGCATCATCTGGGACACGTGATTGTGCCAAGAGTGGTGCAATGAAGTCATGAGGAAGTGTTTATATGGCGAAGTGTTTCTGGAGGACCGAGCTCACCTGTCTATTCTCCCTTTTGCTCCGTGCAGCTCCAGGACTTACAACTCCTTCTTCCCTATTCCACCTTCGGAGTAAAAACAAAGCCAAACCTGTTTGCCCGCTGTGTGTGTGTGTGTGTGTGTGTGTGTGTGTGTGTGTGCGCGCGCAGTTCTACATTTTAGCTGTACAGGTTGTCCTCGACTTACAACAGTCCGTTTACTGTCCGTTCGACGTTACAACGGTGCTGAAAAAAAGGGACTTATGACCATTTTTCGCAGTTATGACCTTTGTGGCATCCCCGTGAACGTGTAATCAAAATTCAGAGGCTTGGTCCCTGGTTCATACTTAATGACCCGTTGCTGTGTCCCCCCCGGTGGATCACGTGACCCCCTTTTGCGACCTTCGGACCAGCAAAGTCAACGGGGAAGGACTTAACGACCGGGCTACTTGCTTATCAACTGCAGTGATTCACTTAACAACCGAGGCAAGAAAGGTCGTAGAAGAGGGGGCGGGCAAAAACTCACTTAACAAGTGTCTCACTTAGCAACAGAAATTTGGGGCTCAATTGCAGTGGTAAGTTGAGGACTGCTGATAAAACAGAATTGGCGAATGCGTTTGCTTGTTTCAGAAAACAAATGCTTTCCAAAACAATTAAAAGAAAATGCAGCCTTTCTAACAATGTGTGTGGCTCGCCTCCCTGCGCATATAAAATGCTCCGAAAAAGGCAAGAATTCTGGAGTGAGTTGATGTATCCATCACTGACTTAAGCTCGGCCGGCTGCTAATGTTCTCTCGATGTTTGATGCTGTGGAGTTGACCAAAGATCGTTCTCCAAATGGTCCTCTGGCAATCCCCAAAGGTTGCGGGGAGGGGTCCTTAGATTTGGCCCCGAGGTCCAGCCCTCTGCTTCTGATGTGCCTGAGCAAATACCTCATGTTCCCAATCTTATCCCAAATTCTTCCTCTTAAGAAGCTTCACAGGCCAAGCGCCATATCCAGATTTTTTTGAATGGGATAGGATAACATGTTTGCCATTTTACGTGGCTTCCTTCAATCGTGC